CACTAAAGCTCTCCGTGGCCATTTCATTTGTCGTCGAGAATCCAACCCGATTACTCGACATTTGAAAAATGGCAAAAAAAGGAGGGAAAATTCAAAAGGTGCGGTTAAGGTGGGTAGTTGATGTCCGAGTGGATCGAGGTCACGATAGCTCAAGTGGTAGAGCAGCGGCGTATCAAGCCGAAGATCGTGGGTTCGAATCCCGCTCGTGCCATTAGCTTAGTTTCATCTCAACTAAAAATCTCCAATAAAGGTTGTTCCTAAACCTATCAAACCCACACACCTTCCTAGTTTTTACAGACCAATCAATCTTTTACTAATAATCTGGAACATTTTCGAAAAACTACCGTTGCTCCGCCTTTGTAACGAAATTCCATCCCATATTACTCCTTATCACCTTTTGGTTAGATAGCTTTTGGAGTTGCCACTACATTTTCTTCAAGCTCATCCGGTTTTAAACATCATTGCCACTGCCTTGGTGTCTTCTTGGTCTATATCTCAGGCATCTGATAAGGTATGGTACCCAGACTTCTGTGGAAGCTACTACCATCTACTCTATTCCTGATATTAAAATCGTATCTTACAGATCGTTACTTCCAAACTAATCAAAACGCTTCTTTCTTCTCCATTTACTCGATTATCGCTTGAGTTCCACAGGATAGCGTATTTTCTCTCCTCTACACAATTTATACGAACGAATCTCTAGAAAATGTTTTTCTGAAACCTACATCACACAGACATCATCTCACGATTTCTGAATAATTATCGATTAACGGTCACTAATCACCACACAATTTATACGGCTGATCTTCCCACTCACCCTAACACTTTCATTTTTCTTTTGCCGATGACACATCAAAACTTCCTTCCGTTAAAAACCCCGTTGCAGGTTCACGTAATTTACAAAATCACTTATACACACTCGGAAGGCAATTAATCGTTCTCCCCCCACTCTCGCTCCCTCTCCTTCTTTCAGCTTTTTTTAGTAAAACGTTGGCATAATTAAGCAGAATCTCTAGAATGGAAATGGCGTTTAAGAAGGAAGTGAGGTGGGTCATGATGTTGTCAGTGGAAGTTGGGGCGGAGTGGGGGTAGGAATGGTTGGTCTGACAGATCTACCTGCCACTTTGGCGTAGCTGAGCTGCTGATTGATTGCCCAGTGTGATTCGCTGATAACTGGTGGTCTTCCTGTCGAGGGTGTAGATGAGGTCTGGAGGTATTGTTACGGTCGAAACTTCGGCCGACAACAGTAGGTCCCGTCGCTCAGTGGAGAATGGGGTGGGTGAAGGAGAGAGGTAGGGAATTGTTGAGCGCCACGGTATTTTTGGGAAGGGTAAATACCGAAACCCCAAGAGAAGAAAAGAAATAGAGGTAAAGGAAGGAAGAAGAGAAAAAAATGAAATCAAAAAGGGAAAAAAACAACTAACGGAGTTTGGAATTGAACCCGCAACTTTCGAGACCCAAGTCGGCGATCGTAACCACCAGACCAAAGGCGCCGACTGAGCCTCGCGCATCCAGCCGGCTCACTGCCGTGCGTCTGGGATCGCCACAAAACCCGGGGCCCAAATCCATCCTCCGGACAGGTAGAGATAGAGATAGAGGAAGATAATTAACAATAATTTTAAACGCCGGTGCCTTACCTGTGCTTCCCACAACGGGTACAGTGAACAGCAAAAAAAAACTAGACCATTTGGCCTCCGCCAAATAAAAGGTTCACAACAAACATCAAAAGACCGCTTGACTTTATACCATATTACACTAAACTCTCTTACATCGGAAATAATCTTATAAATAAATGACAATTAAACTACTTAGCAACTAAATCTTAACTCTTTAACCTAAAATGACTCATTACTTAATAAAACAAAGAAAACCTTAACCTAGCGTAACAATTTTCTTATAACTAAACTTAATCTAAAAAAAGTTATTAATCAAATAAAATTTAAAAAAAAAAAGTCAATCGGCCGTTTCGGCGAACTCACGTCGGGGCCCTGGCGCAGCGTGGTCCTCATCCAGGAGCAGCCTCAGTCGGGGGAAATGATTCGTCCTCGTAGCACCACGAATCCTCTTCCGAGTTCTCTTCCCCATCACTTTGACCAGGGGAAGATGCCAGGTTAATGAGGACGACCATCCGCAGCAGCGGGAATTTCCCCTTTTCTTTGGCCGCTCGTCCCTCCGTCTCTCCGGGCCGAGGGCCCTTAACCTTCTCGCTCTCGGTCTCGTTCCAGGCCTCGACGCCCACGCTCGTGCTGCCGCCTGACGCTCTTATCTTCCACGCCAAAATTCAAGTTTACACAAATTAAAACTAACATTTTTTTTCCTCCGCGCGCAGGCACAGGCAAGACACAAGAAAATCCATTATTATTTTTTTCGTAAAAAAAACGTAATAGTATCCGCTGTTGGTACATGGTTTGGCACGGTTGTCATTTTCCTGGATGCTGCCGGCGGTGTCCTGGTTGTTGGAACAGGGACGGCTGAGTATCTTTGTTGTTTTGCCTATGCATTTGTATTTACTGCAATTCTTTATGGGTAGCGATCCTCGGTAGTTGGCGGGGTGTGCACCGCCACATAATGCGCAAGTGGCGGGTAAGGTTGGTGGTTTGACGCAGTCGTAAGAAAGGTGAGGTCCTGCACACTTGAGGCATTTAGGATGGTGGTAACAGTATACCCTGGTACTTTTGGCATACTTTTGGCATTTAGTGCATTGCGGGATGTTGTTTCTTCGTTGTTCTACACAACATGAGCATACACAATGATGATCCCATCTGCATATTATGCAATAAGGAAGAGGAAAATTCTCTCATGCCCTTCCCATCCTCTAGTGTCCCTTTTTCCAAGTGAAAACTCATGTCCTTGCTAGGCTCAGAATTGGTCATTGTAGGCTTACTCATTCTTATCTCATGGCAAAAAAAGAGACTCCGCTTTGTGATGTTTGCACAGAAAGAATGACAGTTAAACACATTTTGACAAATTGCAAAAAATATATAGCAGAAAGACATCGGTTGGAAATTCCGACCAATCTCAAAGACTCGCTTAGTGATGACTTTGACCAAATAAACAAACTAGTAACTTTCCTTAAAATAACTAAACTAATTTCGGAAATATGAAGATAAAATAATATAATAATTTAATAAAAACTCATTCAAGTTCAGTATGCAATAATCTGTAATCCACCCAATGTTGGGTGGTGTCTCGGGTTGCGGTTTGGGTGCCCACCTGGTGGTGGTTGTGAAGGGGTGACCGGGGCGTGTGATGCTGCCGGGGCCCTGGTTCCCGCTATTGGGGGATTCCTGAGCTATGGCCCTCTCACCACCCAGCTTGAAATTTTTTAAGGCGGAAAATGACCCAAAGCGGTTGATTGCCTTTTATAATATATAATTTAAAAAAATAATTCCCTAGTCCTCAATCCGTCCGAATCCCCCGCCATAATTATCGAGTCCAGGCAACTCCTCAATTCCCTCCCCAGCATCCCACCTCTCATGCTAAATAACCATCCCATCCCCTTCTGCTCTTCGGTTAAAAACCTAGGAGTAGTCTTTGACCAAAACCTTTCCTGGCATTCTCACATTTCCCAAATTTCCCGCCATTCCATTGCCTCCCTCAGCCTGTTTCGTCGGTCCTCGTCGGTGTCGGGGTTGTTTTTCCAACTTTCCTGGCTATTTCCCTCCTTCCATGGACTGGTATACATTGTACCAAGATTTCTATCTTTTTTTTTACTTTTAACTTCATAGAAGGAACTTCCTTTATTTATTTCATGTAAATTATTCTTAGGGGACACCAGTCCCAGAATAAAGTTATTTTTCTTCTCCAAAAGTGACTTAGGTCTCTTTATTACCTATCGAGAATGTCTACATTCAGCCAAAATAATGAAGTTTAAGGGAACGAACGTTGAAATAAGTGACAAAAAATCAACGTTGACAAAAGTGTGTGCAATTGCTTAATGGTGGTTTTGGCGGACCTGGCTGAAATATATCTCACTTTGCAGACAAACACTATTTTTAAGCCGAGGCGGGGATTGAAATAGAAGATAAGTGAGTCACAGGTGTTATTTTTGTTTACATACCACTAACAATTTGACACATAATAAATTTATACAAATACTTTTAACACCACTTATTATCACGGTTAGCATCAGTTCAACCCCTCAAATTTGTTTTTGGCCATTTGTGTAAACGCATATAAGAACAAAGAACAATGGACTTTTCATTAGGAATAACGAATTATTTTAAGAACGGTTTTAAGGTGTTTTTCAACATACAACCATTTCGACATATCATTTTATTACAGCGATATCGATTTCGGGGGCGCCCGCCTTCAGTCTACGTAATAAAAATTTCAAAGTAAATTGTAATATGTAACTTTGTTAAAATTAAATTATATTTAATTATGTCATTTTAATAAAGGACGATACGAATTTGTAAAGATCTCTAAAAATGTAGGTAACGAATGCTAAAACTATAACAACGATAAAATTTACTTTTCTAATCTGCTCCAAGAGCTTTAGTACAAAAATATTGTTAAAAGATTTACATCATTTAAAGATAAATATATTTACTATTTATTATCATAGGCTCGAACAAAAAATAGTAATTATCAGAAGTTATAGATCCGTAGATTCCCCAAATATTTGTTTAATTAAAAAGTTTAATTTAAAAATGTAACTTTGTACATGTGAGTGAATTAAAATAAGTAATGCGCATCATTTACTATATTACATTCAAGATGTAAATATGAGTGTTATTTAAAGAGATATTTTGGAGATTAAGTTTCATGAAATTTGTGATCTACCATTTAAATAAATTATGAGCAATAACAATTTTTTCTTAATGTTATTTTGGTTCGACGTAATTTATTGCGTTAAAAAACAGTGTTAATATGGTCACTAGATTGTTGTCACATTTTGTAAATTTTAGAAGTAGAAGAAAATCGACGTTGAAGGTCAAAGAGAAATGGGTGTTCAATATTTTTAGAAAGTTTGTTAATTGTATATAATGATAACAAACCTTGATAGCCGATCAGGTAATCTAAAAACGTTTTGATGTTCTGATGGTTCGATTCCCATGATCTCCTAAGATCGGCTATAGCTAAATCCTCCCCTGTCACCATACTTTCAACCGTTCAGTATCAGTTTCCACGGACAAATTGCGACCTCGCGACTTGGCGTAACCGATTTACCCCCACTCGTACACTTCGCCATCACTCTCTCTCTCTCTCTATCTCTTTCTCTTTCTCTTTCTCTCTCTCACTCTCTCTCTCTCTTTCTCTCTCACTTTCTCTCATAAAATTATATGCAGGGTGGTGCATTTTCGACTCACTATAGGAAAAACAAATGCACCTCTTGCTCAAATGGCGACTTTTGCAATTTTTGAATTTTTCTAGTTCAATCAAATTGCTCATAAAAATACTGAAAAAGTAAATAGATTAATAAATTATCAGATAAGTATTATAAATCATCCGAAAGGTATTAAAATGTATTAGGTGCTGCCCTAAATAAAAAGGAAAAAGATTGTACAGATCAGAAAAAAAAGCTTAATGATACAATTCGTAAAAAGTTGAAGGCAAATGCTGTGTCCGACGGCGTCTCCCTCAGCCAGCCGCAACACAGTAGCCCAATCGGGTGATTCCAGGTGAATATTTTTAGTTGTACGGACGTTTAAAAAAAATTGATTATAACAAGGTTTTATTAGACAATATGCAGGGTGTTCCAGTTCCTTCTGACGAAACCCAGGGAATCGATTCTACTCTTCGTTTGGAGTAAAAAATGCTCAGGAGAAAATTTTCGGAAAGTTCTCTATTTTGAAGATTTCGTCAATTTATGTTTTTTTCAACTTTTCACTACCTTACCACATAAAAACGCTTACAACTTCCAAAATGTTGAGACTACAACAAATCCAATTACACCATTTGAAAGAACGCTAATTTGCTGTAAGATAATTCTTTTCAATAATCTGAATGACATAAAATGTTAGCCAATATCAGTTGGAACATGTCAAAATTACAAAATTTAAAATTTTGGTCATGATTGCATGTTCTACTGAGGTTACAAAAAAATACCTACAACTTGTCAAATTTTACAAAAACTTCTTCATCTAATATGCTTTACGTTGATATAGCCAGGTTTTTAAATAACGTTCTAGTAGAGTTGAAAAATAACAATTGAATGTTCGAAAACGTGAGGTAAGGTAAATTAGAAGAGGGGGTAGAAATAAATCAATTAGAACTCGCTTTGTAAAATAAAAATAACACATCTGTAATCTCACGATTTCTGAATAATCATCGACTAACGGTCACTAATCACCACACATTTCTAAACGTTTTTATCTTGTTTCTACTTTCGAAAAGTATTTAATACATTTTCATTTCTCTGCAGTGCATTTCGTAGGCTTATTTATTTATTTAAAAGCCCAAAAAGGTCTGTAAAGTGTAAATGGGCAATCAACTTCCTTTCTGAGGAATAGGCAGTGAAGTTTATTTAGTGAAGTGAAATGAGAGAGTAATTAGTAAATAATTTATTAATTAGTAAATAAAATTAGTTACTCTCAATGTTAACATGTAAATAGCTGAAAATATAACTTTATTCATCAAATTATATATTGTAATAAAAAATTGCAGATTGCAATAAAATATTGAAGAAAAACATACTGCTTATTTTAATGTAAACCAAATGAAAGAGATCAGAAATTCAAGAGTTTTAATAAAAATATATTTAGTTATGATGATACGAAAGAAAATTTACCAAAACTCCTGAAAATCAATTAGTGATAGATTAAAATTTAAATAGCAATTGTTTAACCTAGTTTTTCTCTTAATGTGTTATTATAGTTTCAAATAAACGACAGTTTTGCCTTTGAGTATATCGCACCGCATAAGAAAAGAGACACATATAGAAAAATGATAAAAAACGGATTATTTAGTGTTTTTTTAAGTATTCGAGTGTGTGATGCAACAGAAAATATGACTGCTCAATGAAAACTTAATAAATAAAAAAACTGCCAGGTAGCACTCTGGGTCACTTTTGAATGCGAACGTACTGTCACCATTCACGAAAAGTGGCATATCTTAGTCCAGAGTCGAGCTTTAAAGCATCAGTGAGAGTATGTTTCAGGGGAAGTGGTACGTTTCGAGTAACGGCAGTTTTTTCTTGTTTAATGAAGGATTTTATGTTGTACCGGAGTCACATCTTCACACTATGTAAAACAATTGTTAAATCAATTTTACAAATATGTTTTTCATAATGTGAAATTAATATGTCTTGATGAATACTTAAAATAGGTCGAAAGCTAGGCAATAACAACTGCATTTGCACCATATCTTTATCTTTATCTAGAGAGTTCGTAAATTATTTTAGTTTCATTTCTTTTATTTTAATAACATTCTTAAGAGGCGTGGGTTGCCGCAACGGTTTAGGCGTTGACACGGCATTCATCACTGTAAGGTAAAGGTCCCGGGTTCGAATCCAGCGGCCCTTCATTCGAACTTTTTTTTTCAAAAACACCGGCACCCCGAGGGTTGATATAACCTCTGCTGTTGAAAACCCTCGTAAAAAAAAATCATAATTTTTTTAACAATGCTGTCTTTGAACATTTACATCATTTTATAGTTTCAACGATTTTTTAAATGTTCTAATTGCATTATTTTTAATAATAAATAAAACCTTTATTTCAATAATTAATTTTGTATTGTAAATAACTACTTAGCCCTGAGGAAAGCTTCGAGGAGGAAAGTTCATCAGTTTGCGTCAAAAATGGCATGGCTATTTACTCTCGTTTGTTACGTTTGTTGTTGTCTGTAACTATCACAAAAGATTAATGCCCTTACATTCATCATTGACCACTATTATCGTTCGTGCAAGGAAACTAACTTAAATAAGTGAGAGCCAATATACGAAAGAAAAAGTGTCGCAATTCAAAAATGGGTAGTTTTTTAGGGGTAGAACAGTTTGATTTTTAAAATTTTGTGTTTTCTCTTACGTCTTGGAGAAACGAAAGACAATACTGATGGATCATGACAGTTTTTATTGGGAACAATCATTATGTGTACTTAACACATAAGTAAAAAAAAAAGTAAACTCCCATTTGTTTCTCCTGTAAAATATCTTTTGTTGAGTTGTGTCACTTGTGGGAGTGCGATATATAAAGGAAATTGGTTAAATTTGTATTTTAATTATTAATGTAATTCGTAAATTCGGGATAGTATTTATATAATAATAAATAAAGACAATAAAACGTTTATTTTGCCATTAACGTTCCACATTTAACTAGAAGATAGTAACTAATATATACAATGGGTTTGTCGTTCCACAGCGCGTTGGTAACTGTTATTAAAAATAACTTATTGGTATAAATATATACAATTGAGTTCAGGAAAAATTCAGCGCTTAAAATAGTTCAATTTGTGTTCACATTTGGAGTGGCTCATGGTGGGTGAGCGCTGTTGTGCTCCTGTGTGTTGTGTTATAATGAGTCTCATTGAAAAGCGTCGAGAGCGAATCTTTAGCCTCAGACCAGCTAGTTGGTGTATGAGACCTTGCTCTATCTCGTATCTAAAAATATAAAACAAGTCTTAAACTGACCCCGGTGATAATGTGTATGTTTATAATTAACTTAAAAAAAAGAAACTTGCCTGTAGTGTGACAAACGCTCTGTCAGTTCCGTAAATATTTTTTGCGACAATAAAGTATGTACCGCGGTCGTCCAAGTTGATTCTTTTTAACGTAAGACGAACATATTCTCCAAAACTTTCTTTTAGTGTTCTACAGCTTTTTGATATGTCCTTTATTCCTTTCATGAAAGTCACTGTAAAATAAAAACAAACGTTTGTTATTAAATGTAGAAAAATGTAATAATAATGAAATGAAATAAAAATAAATATTTATTTGTTATATGTTAGTGTCATAGTTTTTGATAAAATAATAATAATGGAAAAAAAATTATCTGGTAATTCCAGCAGATTGGTTAACCCATGCTGCATCATTTACTGTTAAAAAATGTTATGTATTTATGCAAAAATTTGTTAATATTAAAAATTAATCCATCAGTAGTCAATAAAACAAAAATAAAATAAAATAATTGATTAAGATGAACTTCTAGTTTGTTTGTATTAAAAAAGATTGCTTCTTTTGAAATATACTTTTTATACAATTGGTTGTTTCTCTTCTACATAAGTAAACAAAAATTTGTTAGAAGTTTTTGTAATTGATATTATTAAACAATTAAGTCATTGAAGGCACCTTGAGGCTTTGGTTCCCCGGAAACATAGCAAGTCAGTGTCATGTCTTCACCGTTTGTCAATGTCATCCTCGACTCAGGTTTCACAGTAAAACGGGCTGGCTTTTCGTGGGGTCGTCTTTGGACAACTTGCACCATGGCTGTAGTGTCGACAGCACCACGCCTTCCGCTCGAGATTCGACAGGTATAGACCCCAGATTCTGACGGAGTCGCTCCTTCGAGAAGCAACGTGAATAGGCCACCGTCTTCAAAGTAGTGTACCCTGGGAGAGTATTTTGGCAATGGTGCTCCACCTCTCAACCACGTAATGTCCGGTCTGCTACATCCTTACAAGAAATATCAAGTGTTAATAACGATTTAAAACATACCTCAATTTTAGATTATATAGTCTGTTATTAGTAGAGGAAAAACGCCCATGCGAGAACCGCCTGATACCTCACCCCCTCCACCTTCATGGAGTCACATAGCACCAATCTGGACGCAGCGCCTTTCCGTAATTAGATGTTGGGCAGGTAATAAATTGTCTTTTCCACAATAGAATAGACAATTTATTTCCTAGCCATCTTCTTTTTGTGGAGTTCCACAAAATCAGGATGTACAACATCAAAATATGTTTGAAACAGCGTCCGCCACGTGGGTGCATGACCGACCATGTCTTCCCCATCCTTCTAATTTGACGAACTTGTGTGCATTTATATGACCACTCCTCCGTGTGCCGTACCTACAAGATCTAGTTGCGCCTTTCTAGAAAAAGTTCTAAACCCCTTCAATTCGATTCCGGGCGGATTCGGGTCTCACCATAGACAAATCATCCCTGACCATTGTCTACAGAATATACCTCTTGCTATGTATAACTCTGCAATTCCATTGTAGAATGGACTCAATTAGTCATTTCCTGGCGATTTCTCCTTTCTGAAATTCGGTCTTCTGCTACCCATTTCTCCTCCAGAGGGGAATTCCGGAGTTGGCCGCTGACGGCCCAGACGTCGACTCTGCGTCCGTCACCCATTGGATTCATGACAGAGCTGCTGACATTGTAGTTACCGCCGAAGGTGTTTTTCATGTTTTTCCCCGGCTTGTCCAGCTACCCCTCACGGTTAGCCGCAACACGCGGTAGTGGAACGTTTGAAAAGAGAATGGTAACATCACATGGGGGAGGGTGGCAACAGCCACCTTTGTTTGCCCTCGCCTTCGATGAGGGGTGTTATGGCAACTTCTCGTTCTTTTTTCGAGTAATTTTAACTTTGATAATTCTCTTTCTTTCGAGAAGACAGGATAGCCGGCAGATCGAGTCGTATATTTGTAGCCGCATTTCCCACAAATAGACAGGTTGGCTCATCCCGATTCCTTCGGGTGCGCCTTCCTACGGAACTCACACACCTCTTGCGGCGCCATGCACCGTAGGGATATATGCTCAAATCTTTGAGATCTATAGCATCTCTGCGGACTCGTACGGTCGGACCTTTACCTTCTATAATGCCGCTCTTACTTCGTCTAGGAATCTTGGCGCATCAAAGTGAGGATTAGGCTCGCCGATGGGATTTGTTTTTCTAGCAAGTATTCATCCGCTTCGTATCTAACACCCCCTGGTCCTGAAGGCCTTCTTTGCTACCATTGACGCTGCTATTCATGAGGTAATTACATATTACTACCCGCCTAGATTGAACCTCTTGTTCAATACCTCTTGTTAATCTTGACTTCATGTCCAGCAAGAGCCTTTAATGCTAACTTTTTATATTTTCCTGTCACACCAATGCATATATTGCCCTCTCTACTGTTGGTGGTAGAGCTTGTGTTTCCTACGCTTTGATTATCATGACAAACCTTTTGTGACGAAGAAAGAGCACATAGATTTAAAATCTCCCTCTTTCCTTGTCACGTTGTAGTTGTGCGTTTGGAATGTCTCGGTGAGAAGTAATGCCCATGTTTCCGAGTTCAATCTCCGCGACTACACTCAGGGCTTGTTCTTCCTATTTTCCTTTCTTTTCTTGTTTCCTTCATTCTCTTCCCCTTCTTCTCTTTTGTGGGACAGAGGGGACGCAGGCGGAGTTTCTCTGTGAGCATCACAGATTCGCTTTTCAGCGAGTTGGGGACCCCTTTTCCTTTTCCTAGGAACGAAAACGAACCCTTTATCCTCCATCCTGTAGGAATGAGAAGATATTTGTGAGAGGGTTGAGAAGGGCAGAGTGGTGGAGCATTGAGCGGTACGTGACTGAGGTGTAAACTTTCGGATTTTCACCTCATCCGTTCGGGGTTGAGAAAGGTGTTGGGATAAGTACGAGTGTTGGGATGGGAAGAGATGTTGTCGGAGTGGTCGGACCCAGATTAGGCGAAGTAGGCACTTTTACTCCTTTTTCCTTTTTCATTTCCAAATTCATCATCATATATTTTGTAATTTATCTACAAGTTTTTATTTGTACCATTGTACCCCCATCTCACTCTTTGGATACGATCACCCGGACTGTTCGGGCCTTTCTCCGTTCCGTCCTCAACCAGCATGGCCTCTGGAGGGCCCGCCGCGATGCCCAGCACGGTAATTATCCAGTCGACAGCTGGAAGTACTAAGCACCACAACTTTATGCACAAGGTGATAGGGCATCCTCCACGGTGACTATTCCGGGATTCGGGTCCCTGTACTATTGTGATGGAAAAATATTTATAATAAATACCCTTGATTTTCAAAACCTGCACGTTTTGCACCAGCTTACAATGTACTAGCTGTAGTAGCTAAAACTATACTGTACTCTCTTAGTTCGACTTAAGAATGCAAATAAACTTTATTATCCGTATGTTTTTAAAAGAGTTTACTATTGTTTTCTTTTATTGTGTATATATTCCTAGTTAGATGCATTGCACTTCTTTAAACACAAACCACCGTAACATCTCACTTGAGTTTATACAAACTAAAATAAAATAGTAATACTGAAAAGTAAAAACGCCAAATAAATTAAATTTACCAGCTACTTGGACGTGGAGCGCAATTGTGCTCCCAGATGGTACAACAGGGTCTGCGAGCAGGTTAGTCACTCTTGGCATGCCGATATCAGCGCCTTTGACCAATAGACAGACTTCTCTTGGAACATCTACTTCATACTCTGTAATGAACAAAATGATTGTATATATAATAAAACAATATATATAAAATAAACGACAATGACAAGTTGCCTATTTAAAATGAAACTTGCTATACTTTACTACTTACTTCCATATCTCCAATAAACTATTTATTATAAAATAGAAAAGCGTTATTTTGTGAACAGTTTTAGCATATTATCTTTCCTATTGTTATATTATATTAGTTGTCTAACCAGGTTCTATAGGGTTCCATTCTGAGTCTTCTCCGTCTTTCTTTGAAATCACTCGGACTGTTGATGTTGTAGCCTGTTGACCATTTGTATTTTTGACAATGCACGTATATTGACCAGAATCCGATGTAAGAGCATTCGGTATTTCCAAACTTGCCACACCATAATTCCAATCGGTGTTGTACCTTAATTATGATAAAATATGTTCAGTATGTATTACAATTATTGTAAACCGGAAAAGTGGCAGTGGTTTTTTAAATTGGAATAATATAAATACATAAATTATGTCCATTAAAATATACACGTAAAAGTAAAACAATAAAAAAAATACCTAGTTGAATCCGTGTGGAGACTTATAGGTCTTCCATCCTTGTGCCATTCAATTGTGGGATTAGAATCACCGCCAATGTTACACGTCAATCTTATTTTTCCACCATGTATCACAGTTTTATCAAGAAGTCCATTGCATATGTATGCTCGTTTCCCTACCTGCAACATGAATTACTATGCTAAAATGAAACAATAAATCAATTTCAGTTCTTTACCTGCTCGAGTCTGGTAATGGATCTTGATCGAAGAGAGGTTAATGATGTTGAAAGAGTTGGAGGTCGGAGGCGAGCTGCTGTAAGTTCATCGATATGACGTCGTGTCGTGAGCGATAGTGTGCTGCCGTATGCTGATGGTGAGACATGTTCTACAAGAGGGCTTACCGACCGTCTTGTTCTTTCGTAGTGTGGAGTTGGTTGGTATCTTATCGAATCAAGTTGCATGCTACTAAAATCTTTTCTTGGGCTTAAAGTCCGTCTTGAGGTATGAAAAGGTGCTGGTCTCTGCAAGTCTGAGGCAGAATATTCCAAATGTGTCCAACTTCTTTCTTGTGATTTTTTCCAACTATAAGAGGACATTTGCGTTTCTTGTACTTCTTGCATTCTTGCTGCATCCCTCATTGATCCATACGTTCGCCTGCCTCTTTCGGGACGCACAGGTGGCTCGTAATCAGGAAGTTCTACAACTTCAATGCCACGATTATTATAATACTTAGTTTCTCTTAAAGACTGTCCGCTTTTTCCACTTGCAGCATATTGAATTAAATTATTATAGTTACATCTTTTTCTAGTCGTGTCATCCTCAATAGTGGTCATATCAACAGTAGTTTGATCAGTGCTGCAAAATTGACCATCAAGTATTTTGTTTTCAGGTTCGTATAGTTTTTCAACATTCATTTGATTATTCAAATACTTTTTCTTTTCCTGATCAGTTACATCTTCAATAGACCTTTCTTTGCGTTTTGCATTTATTTGCTCCACCGTTTCGCTGCTTTTGTAGTCTTCTTCTTGAACTTTATTCTTACCCTTTTCGGACAATTGCTTGACTTCCATTTCTACGCCCTGTTCCGGTTTGACATTCGTATCTTCTTCTTCCTTATTTTGCTTTTTCTTTACTATAAATTCTTTCACTTCTTCTATTTGCTTCTTTTCATTTTCGGGAATTTCTTCTTCTTTAGCTTTCTTTACTTCATCTTCCTTCCTTTTCTTTTTGTTTTTATCGTATTGTTTTGTTTGCTTTTCTCTTTCTTCCTTCCTTTTCTTTTCCTGTTCTGCTAAAGCTTTGGTATTATTTTCATCTTGTTCCTTCTTTTTCTTTCCCATTTCAGCTAATTCTTTGGCTTTCTTTTCTTCTTTTTCCTTCTTTTTCTCTGCCATGTCAGCTAATTCGTTGACTTTCTTTTCTTCTTCTTCCTTATTTTTCTCTGCCATATCAGCCAATGTTTGGGCTTTCTTTTCTTCTTCTTCCTTCTTTTTCTCTGCCATAGCAGCTAATTCTTTGGCTTTCATTTCTTCTTCTTCCTTCTTTTTCTTTTCCATTTGTGCTAAATGATCGCCTTTCTTTTCTTTTTCTTCCTTCTTTATCCTCTGCTCTTCAGATAATTCTTTAGCCTTCTTTTCTTCTTCGTTCTTTTTCTTCTTTTGATCGGCTAATTCTTGAGCCTTCGTTTCTTCTTCATCTTTCTTTTTCTTGTCCTGTTCTGCTAATTCTTTGGTTTTCTGTTCTTCTTTTTCCTTCTTTTTCTTCTCCTGTGCAGCTAACTCTTTGGCTTTCATTTCTTCTTCTTCCTTCTTTTTCTTTTCCATTTGGGTTAAATGATCGGCTTTCTTTTCTTCTTCTTCCTTCTTTTTCCTCTGCTCTTCAGCTAATTCTTTAGCCTTCTTTTCTTCTTCTTCTTCTTTCTTTTTCTTATCCTGTTCTGCTAATTCTTTGGCTTTCTGTTCTTCTTTTTCCTTCTTTTTTTTCTTGTGTTCAGCTAACACTTTGGCTTTCATTTCTTCTTCTTCCTTCTCTTTCCTTTGCTCTTCAGCTAATTCTTTAGCCTTCTTTTCTTCTTCTTCGTTCTTTTTTCTCTCCTGATCGACTAATTCTTGCTCCTTCTTTTCTTCTTCTACTTTCTTTTTCTTTTCCTGTTCTGCTAATTTTTCGGCTTTCTGTTCTGCTTTTTCCTTCTTTTTATTTTCCATTTGGGCTAAATGATCGGCTTTCTTTTGTTCTTCTTCCTTCTTTTTCCTCTGCTCTTCAGTTGATGCTTTGGCTTTCTTTTCTTCATCTTCCTTCGTTGTCTTTTCTATTTCAGCCAATTCTTTAGCGTTCTTTCCTTCTTCTTCCTCTTTTTTCTTCTTCTGATCTGCTAATTGTTTGGCCTTCTTTTCTTCCTCTTCCAACTTCTTCTTTTTTATTTCCGCTAATTCCTTTACCGTCATTTCTTCGACCTTCTTTTCCTTTTCCTGTTCCTCTAATCCTTTTATTTTTCTTTCTTGTTTTACTTCTTTTTCATTTTTGTCTAAAACTTTCACTTTCTGTACTTCTTCTTCCTTCTTTTTCTTTTCCATTTCCGCTAATTCTTTGACTTTATTTTCTTCCTCTCCCGTCTTTTTCTTCTCCTGTTCGGTTAATTGTTCGGCTTTAATTTGTTCTTCTTCCTTCTTTTTCTCCTCCTGTTCGGCTAATTCTTGGCCCATCTTTTCGTCTTCTTTTTTCTTTTTCTTTCCCATTTCTTCTAACTCTTTAGCCTTCTTTTCTTCCTCTTCCTTCTTTTTCTTTTCTGTTTCCGCTAATTCTTTAGCCTTCTTTTCTTCCTCTTCCTTCTTTTTCTTTTCGATTTCCGCTAATTCTTTAGTTTTCATTTCTTCCTCTTCTTTCTTTTTCTTCTCCTGTTCGGCTAATTCTTTGAGCTTCTTTTTCTTTTCCGTTTCCACTAATTCTTTAACCTTTTTTTCTTCTTCTTCTTCCATCTTTTTGTTTTCTATTTCCGCGAATTCTTTAGTTTTCTTTTCTTCCTCTTCTTTCTTTTTCTTCTCCTCTTCAGCTGATTGTTTGGCCTTTTTTTCTTCTTCTTCCTTCCTTTTCTTTTCTATTTCCGATAATTCTTTAGTTTTCTTTTCTTCCTCTTCTTTTTTTTTCTTATCTACTGCGGGTAATTCTTTAGCCTTCTTTTCTTCTCCTTCCTTCTTTTTCTTTTCTATTTCCGCTAATTCTTTAGTTTTCTTTTCTTCCTCTTCTTTCTTTTTCTTATCCAGTTCGGCTGATTGTTTGACCTTCTTTTCTTCTTCTTCCTTCTTTTTCTTTTCTACATGTGCTAATTCTTTAGCCTTCTTATCTTCCTCTTCTTTCTGTTTCTCCTTCTGTTTTGCTAATTCTTTGGCTTTCTTTTCTTCTTTCTCTTTCTTTTCCTGATCAGCTAATTCTTTAGCCTTCGTTTCATCTACCTCCTTCTTTTCCTTTTCTAGTTCGGCTAATTCGTTGGCATTCTTTTTATCTATGTGCTTCTTTTTCTTCTCTTGTTCGGGTAATTCGTTGGCCTTGTTTTCTTCTTTTTCCTTCTTTTTCTTTTCTATGTCCGCTGATTCTTTTCCTTTCATTTCTTTTTCTTCTGTTTGTTTCTTTTCCATTGCCGCTAAATCGTTAGCTTTATTTTTTTCTTCTTCCCTTGTTTTCTTTTCCATTCCCTCTAATTCTTTGTTTTTATTTTCTTCTTTTTCCTTCTCTTCCTTCTTCTGATCGACTAAATCTTTGGTATTCTTTTCCTCTTCTTTCTTCTTTTTCTTTTCTATTTCCCCCAATGTATTAGCTTCCTGTTCGTCATTATGTTGTAATTTGGTTATATGTTCTTCGCTATTTTTCTTAACGGCTTTTTCTGGTTGAGAAGACTGACTCTCATATTTCAAATCTTCAATTTTATGTTTAAGAGCTTCGATTCCTTTTTCGAATCTTTCATGTTGAAATTCACCCTTGTCTTGCTGAATATTTTCCTTTTTAATACTACCCATTACCAATGCGGGAGTATGCCCTTCCAAGGCTTGAGTTGGCCGATCCGATATTGAAATCTCTGATAGGGTATTGTCCTCATATATTTCCTGGCATTCAGTGGCTATTTTCATAAAATCTGTTCTCTCAACATGTGGCGACCCTTGCGTGAATTGACCTAAGGTCGATATCTCTGAAAGTGTTTCATCGGCCATGGAAATAATGTCGACAACTTGATGGCACAACTCTAGGAGTGTCGAGGATTCTCCACAAGATTCTAAATTCTCGACAGCTTGTTTAAGAGAGTCTACCGGCTCCGTAATTTCACTAACGACCTCTTCTAATTCCGATTCTGGATTCAGTTCTTGTAGGCGTGCTTGTAATTGTAACAAACGTTTTTTTAATATTTCAGCTTCCTCAGCTGCTTGATTGGCCATAACTGAAACTGCTTGTTTAAGTTCACACAATTGACTCAGGCTACTTTCTGTTAATGGCTTGTCTTGGATAAGAGCTATATTTGCTCTCAATTCTCGTACGGGATTTGCAATTTCTACCAATAGTTCCAAGGCTTTTACATCATCATTATTTTCGATGGCATCTTGTATTTGGGAAAGTGCTCCTTGAATGTCCCCTATCGGCTTGGATAAGCTTTCGAGCGACGATAGACTGCCTTCTTCTAAAAACTCTTCGATGTTCGTTTTATCCGTAATAGTGTTAATAAAAGACACCAAGTTTTCCATAGGGCTTAACATGCAGTCAACTTGTCTGTTTTTATTAATCAAAATCGCTTTTTCTAATTTCATAAGTCCTCGCTCAAGCTCGGCACTTGCTTTTGAAAACCATTCCAAACATTTAGCCTCTCTCTTTTTGTCTTGGGCTGGTGAAATCGTTCTTTTCAATTCTTCATGCAGTGTTTTGAGTTGAGTTAAAATTGTTTGAAATCCTGGGAGAACATTTCTCATGCTATCGTCATCCAAAGCATTTTTTAAATCTGCAATAGCTTGTGATAAGTATTCTGATTCTAAACAGTTAACATCAAACTTTGAAACCATTGACTCCATTTTATTCAACGAAGACAACAACTCTTGTCCATTTCTCCGATTTTCTATAGCATCACCATACACAATCAGGTTTTGTTCAAAATTTTGAAGGAATTCACGGAGATGGTTTTTTTCCGGATTAGACGATACCGTTTGCAACTCAGATTGCATGGATCTAACAGTTGACACAATACTTTTAATAATAGGAAGATCTAAATCAGCAGACAATGCTTCGAAACTAAATAATTTTTCAAATTCTTTTTCTTTTAAAGCTTTTTCTAACTCACTTTGCTTAATTGCAGATCGAAGTTCCATGTTAATGTTGTGAAGCGCCTCACACAGTTGTTCCAAATCTCCACTGTTTCTCGTTGAAGTTACTAACGTTTCTTCTAACATTTTGACAGGAAGACAAGCTTTAGAAGCTTTATCCAGCAAATCGCCAGTGGCTTCGGTTGCTAAATCTTGAACGATTCCTTGCAAGATAAATATTTCACTGGCCATTTTAGAAACACTTTCTTCTTCGACCATTTTCCATTCAGCTTTATGTTTCTGTTTGTCAAAACTAACTTCTAACTCGTCTACAGTTTCTAATAAATCTCCTATTACAGAAGTCAATGGTTGTGCTAGTTTTTCTACTTCTTTTTTCTTTATGACCGCTGTCAAAACTCTGTTAATATTGTGCAAAGATTCAGACGATTCCTCTATATCTATTTGCTTTATGCATGGCACTTGGAGTAAATGTTCTTGAATAGCTTTTATTGGAATGCACAGTTCTTGTGCTTTATCTAGTAAATCACCGCTTGCTTCTGTCGCAAGATCTTGAACGGTACTCTGAAGAATCGAAAGTTCCAAAGACATTTCTGCTATCGCCTTGTCGGAAATCCCGTTTGCCTTTGCCTTTTGTTTCATTTTTTCAAAGCTAGACTCTAGTTCCTCTATCCCTTCGAGAAGATTACCGATAACTGACGTCTCTCCTTTTGAAATTTTTGGCACGATTTCAAGGGTTTTTTTAGGCTTAGGAACTAACAGATCCTCACCGATATTGAGTATTGACAATGATGTTTGACAAGCGACTTTAAAATTGTTTTGGTTATCGTGATTTTTGGACAAATGTTTGAGATCTTCGTGAACGGATTCAACTTTAGCGAGGACGAAGCGGACCCTTGCAGTGTCGGCATTACCCTCTAAAACCAGATTATCAACTACCCTCTGTACGCTTTTAATATCGTTACTAATAGAATCTAGAACCATTTCATCATTTTTATCCTGTATTTCATACGACAACGCGTCTTTTAACAAAGATTCTAATTCGTCTACATGTTCTTTCAAAGCGTTTACACCTCGTGGTTCTCCCCTGATGTAGACAGCAACTTCATCAATAGAAATTAACTGACAATGAAACGTTGTAAAAGCGTTAGCTAGTTGATCGATAGTATTTAATGTGTCGTTATTTCTGTTGGCAGCATTTCCTTTCCCGTTGGACAGAACGATGTATGATTGTTCAATAGCTCTTTGCAAATTGAGCATTACGTCTTTAACGAGAACCATTGGCTTCGGTTTTCCTGGGTCGACAGACACTGCATATGTTTCCATTTTGCAGTACATTTTGCTTAATTTTTCATCTATAATTTTAAGACTGTCTGATAAATTACGTCTTGCTTCATCCAACTTTTTGGTGGTTTCTAGATTAGTTGATAAATCTTCTAATGTGGCTTCAAAATCTTCAATGACTATCCCTAGAGAGCAAAGGACCTCTGATACTGGTTGTGGGCTAACATTTTTTAGCTCTGTTAAAGTGGCCGATACGCGCCGTGCGGAATCCCCTAACGAGCTTAATGCAATATCAGCTTTGATTAGCGTTCTGTTAGAGGATCTTTGAATTTCGGCGAATTGTGCTTTTAATGTTTGCAGTGGTTGCGTGAGGGACTGAAGAGTAACCATGTTTGATTCCATAACTGTGGGCTCGTCAGTGCGCGCCAACGCGCTTCGATTTGGCATAACGGTGATAGTTTTCAGGAGGTCCTGTATCGCGTTTTTTAATTCAGGAGTAGCGCCTTCAGTTACCTCTTCATTCATTTGTTCATCTATTTCTAAAAGAGCGCTCTGAAGTTCTTTAAACGGCCCTGTCATATCTTTCATTACATCGACGTTCACATTTTCCTTTTTATCAACGAGTTCTAGTATGTTTTCGAGGCCGCTCTGAACTCTAGTTAGAGGTTCTGAAAGCATTATAGATATTTTCTCCATTGCGTTTGATTCGGATGATACAGCGGCTGCTGAAGATTCTCTGAGCTCGCTAACCGACCTAGTGACAGCTTTCAATCCTTGGAATGGGTCTCCTTTTCCCAGTAATGTTTCTTCAGCTGTAATCATTTTACTACATAAATTATCCAATGGTTCTGCCATCTCCTTCAACGCGTACAATATAAATCTCATGTGCATTGGATCGTCACCAGATTTACACATCACGGTTTCATGAAAAGCCGTAATGCAGTTTTGAACTCCTTCGAGAGGCTCTACTAAATTAATTAAGGCGTTTTGACATGGTTGTTCAGTGCTGTAATGATCCGCTTCGATTTCGTGCTGAAGTATTGAAAATTCAGATCTGATCGTCTGCAACGGTTTACTTAATTCTTGAGCAATGGAAAAGACTTCCCCATAAGATAATTCACCGCTTTTTATGCCATTTTCTACTGATTTCAGACTTTTATATAAGTCTTCCATAGGTTTCGTGATCGCAGGCAGTTTTCCAGCGATATCTCTTTTTGATTCGTCCACCGGTACTCCTTTCTGAATGGAGCCGATACAATCCAGCATTACATCTAAACTGTGTTCTAAATTTTTCACTAGCGGGACACCCTCCATCTGAAGATTTTCAAGAAAACCACTACCCCCATGTGATATATCAATATCTTTAATTTTTTTTTCCAGGTTTTCTAGAGGAGGGATCAGAAATTCAACCGCCGTATGAGCAGAGAGATTTTCGACGAGGTTGATTGTCGTGTCTAACTCGTCCATAGGGACAGATACTTTGTACAATACGGGAATTCCTGTTCCTCGGATTGCTTTGTGGCTCTTCAGTGTACTAATACTTTCGAATAGCCTTAAACTAGCGTTTGTAACTTCGAGAGGTTTCACTAAAGCTTCTACGACTTTAGCAGTAGGAGGAATTCCCATTTCATTATCCTCAACAATGACTGCGATACATCTTGATGTAATAGCTGATAATTTTTTAAGAGGCTTTATCAAATCTCCAACTGATCTTAAAATGTCTGAAATTTCTTGATCTTCCTCATGATTCGCCTTTGTTCTAATTTCAGTGCTAACATTAAGAAGTCGGTCGTAATATTTTTCCAGTTCATCGTTGGCGTTCTCTTCGAGTTGATGAAGTTCAGCGGTGAGAGTACTGGAAATGTTTTTGTCGCTAGGTACACAAGACTGCCTTTCTATTATTTTCGAAAGAGCTTCTTGAACTTCGGTCACCGACTTTTTATATTCTTGATGGGATCTGGTCGTCTGTCTAATTTGGGCGATTTCCTTATCTAGGTTGTCTAATTGACATGTAACCGATTGCAACACAGGTAAGTTCAGTTCTTGCATTAAAGCCAAATTCTTTTTGAATTGTTCGATCGGTTGTATAAGTGTTTCTAACATCTCCGTAGAGGGTTGACCAGCCGGGGTGTCAGAAAGGTGTGCTTCGACTATTTCGAGACTCTTTTGGACGTTAGTTATGGGCTGTACTAGCGATTCAAACAATCCATGAGCCGAATGCATTTCTGCACTGGATTCGGAAGCGACATGTGCTTCAACAGCTACGAGACCTTTTTGTATCTCAGTGAGGGAATGCGCCAAAGACTCAAGAACAGACACTTCACTTCTCTCAAACGCACTTTCTTCCGCTGTATTGAATGTTGCTTCATCTTCAGTAATTGATCGTTTGGAAACGAAAGGTTCGATCGACTTAACATTCGTAATTGAAGTTTCATTGTCGACAGTACGGCCGAAAACTGTTTCTTGGGTTGATTGTCTAATGTTTTCCTTTTGAAATGCCTTTATATCATCTTCCTTTGTTTTTCTATTTTCAAACTCGTACAATGAATCGTCTTCCAGTTCTGAATCAGTTCTCTTTTTTTCGGGCTTAGAAATCACTTGTTTTTCTAAAATCTTGCGCCTTTCAAATTCTTGGAGAGAATCGTCTTCTCTTTCTGAATCTGTAGATATTTTCTTTTTCCTAGGTTTTGCCTCAGGTGCATTTGCTTTTTCATTACCTTCTGATATATCTTTCTCGTCTTCTTTGTAATGAGATTTATTCTTATTCCTGGGAGGTTTTAGCGGAGTCCTCGCTTCGAATTCTGCTGCGATGTTTTCGGTGGTTTTAACCTCATCGGGAGTAAGGTTCGCCATTGTAATTTCTTCAACTAGCGAAAATTCGTCAACATCAGCATCGGTTCTCAAATCATCTTCAACCACTTTCGGTGATGTTGGAGCAGTGGTAAAATATTCTGGATTTACATCGATCACGAGTGCTTCCATCATCAATTTACCAGAGGTAGAACTTTCTTTTGTAAACCTCATCGGTGGCAACTCCACTAAGTTATGTTCTACAACATTAATCAATACTTAGTTAACACAATATAATAGTTTAACGCCTGTTGAAAATTTTCTATCTTTTTAACAAAACCAATGGTTTTACCTGACACATGTTCGGAAATTTGATCGGCATACATTTCAACAATTTGCAAAGCCTCTTCTTCTGTAAGATCTGGAGTTTCGTAAAGAGAAACGGAAACTTCTTTACCGTCAAAAGAAAATGACACTTCCTCTGCTCTGTCATCAATGGTCGTTGATTTTTCAGTGTCGTGAAGTTGAGAAGTCCTTTCTTCGTGAATTGTTGACAAAGAACGATCTCTTGATAAAGGATGACCTTTGATGCTTTCCGGAATTCCAGCTGATTTTACTCCTTTTTCTGAACAAAACGCAATGATACACCTCAATAACCACACAAAATTAACAAACAAAACTAACATATATAACAGAATAGTATACCTTCAAAACCTAGGAGAGAAGCAGAGCTAGAAACGGTTCCCATACAATTTTGTGCCAAGCACGTGTACGTTCCTAAACAGCAAGTCCCATCTTGACCGGATATTATTTTATGAATATCACCTGCTTTCAGCTCTCTCCCGTCTTTGAACCATTTTAGTTTTGGCTGGGGAACTCCTATAACCTGTATAAAAGAGGATTTTTTTATTTGCTTCTTCAAAGCTCTATCTTCTTAAAAATTATACAATATTTTACTATTATACAATATTATATATTAGAAAACATCAGAAGTAGCCTCTATTTTCAGACACATTATTGTCGTAGCGCACCCAAGACCTTACCACCTCCTGTCCGGAGCCTTCACCTCGTACACGGCTTTATAAACAAACAGCCGATACATCACAGCGATGTCAGCAGAAACGGTGTAAATAGCCTTTGTCTTTGCAATCGCCACTTAGTGCTTTGGCTGTTGTTTTAAACGGCGATTTCAGTATGGAAGTTAGAAGTATAGGTTTTTAGTTGTGATAAAAAAGTCAATGGCACGAGCGGGATTCGAACCCACGATCTTCGGCTTGATACGCAGCTGCTCTACCACTTGAGCAATCGTGACCTCGATCCACTCGGACACTAACTTCCCATCTCAACCCCACCTTTTGAATTTTCCCCTCCTTTTTGCCATTTTTCGAATGCCGTGTAAACGAATTGGATTCTCGACGACAAATGAAATGTCCACGTAGAGCTTTAGTGAAGTATACTTCATTTTAAATCATTAAATTCACTAATTTCGCGGTCCGCTTGACCAATTAATATATTACAGTTAATTAAGGTTTTTAGTTGAGATAAAAAAGTCAATGGCACGAACGGGATTCGAACCCACGATCTTCGGCTTGATACGCCGCTGCTCTACCACTTGAGCTATCGTGACCTCGATCCACTCGGACACTAACTTCCCATCTCAACCCCACCTTTTGAATTTTCCCTCCTTTTTGCCATTTTTCAAATGTCGTGTAATCGAATTGGATTCTCGACGACAAATGAAATGGCCACGGAGAGCTTTAGTGAAGTATACTTCATTTTAAATCATTAAATTCACTAATTTCGTGGTCCGCTTGACCAATTACATGGGTAGTTAATGTCCGAGTGGATCGAGGTTCATTTTCTGAATAAAGTGATTACAAGCATCATTGGTACTTTTCCTTGTCTCCCTAAAGGTCTGACTCGCATATAACACAGTTTTCGGCCATAATAGTTAAACAAGTGAATGGTTGAAATAAAACCGCATCTTTTTAGAATGGAGCACTTGTTTGTAGTTGTACAGGAAGTTGTTGCTATTAGATTCTCGATTGGTTAGAAAAATATACCTTCAAATAAAAGGCTTAGGGCTGTTACTAAAGCCCCATCACCTTGGAAGCAACTAGGCATGAGAAAATTCGCTATTTTAGGAATAGGAAAATTAGCTTTGCTATTTTGAGGTTTCAGCTACGCTGATCTAATAGCTGCAGTTTCATGGGTGAAACCTCGCGTTGGAATTGTTGGTGGAGTGATGGCTACAAGACGCGTCTAAAAGTATTAAGCTTACATTCCGGTAACATGCAATGCACTTATGATATGGCTTGATGATAGAAGCATACGTAAGTCGGAGGAATGAGACAACTAACCTACAAGTACACTGAGAAAACAATTTTTTCATCTGCCAGGAGTTGGCTATCTATCTACATACAACTTTAAAATTAATTATAAACTGACAAATATTATTGCTGGGCATAGAAAAATGACAAATTATCTGCACATATTGAAGTCCCAGTCCTGCCGTCACTGCCACCCCAAACCTCTGAGCACCTTATATGGGATGTAGCAGTTGCCAGGAAGTGAGCGAATATGAAAGAAATCGCCAGCTAGCGCTAAGTTGTCTCCACGAATGTGTAAGCCGGTCCCCGTATTAGGGATAAGTTTTAGTTGTGAAAGTAAGAAAAATTAGGGTAAACGACGGTTTCGATTTATGGACGGGAGGAAGTCGGCTTATTGGATTACGGAGCAACCAGGTCGTTGATGAGCAAGGAGGCTAGGTATTAAGCTCAATTCATGGGAAAGCCTGAAGCTGACACAGGCAGATGGCACCTTTATTTCAGTGCTGGGTTCCGTCTTGCTGCCTGTCGAACTTCTTGGGAAAGTTCAGACCATTAATTTCCTGGTTGCAGATCGGCTGAGCTCGGATTTGATCTTGGCTTCTGGCGCACAATGGAAATCGTTCCCAATGTTCGGAAAGAACATGGGAATTTGGCGATGTTTCTTGTGTAGCGAGAACCGAACCCTGACTAATAAGGGAATCGCGGCTGGAAGAAGATCAAAAAGAAAAGCTCCAAGAAGTGGTACGATGTTGGAGAGGTGTTCTTCCTTCCAAGTTGGGACATACCGATAAGGTACACCACTACATTGATACGGCAGATTCTAAGCCAATTAAACAGCGGTAATTACATTTTTTCCTTCTTCTCGGGAAAAAAATTAATAAGGTTAAATAGTGGCGGGACGAACCGAGAAGAGAAACGCGAGAAGCAGGAAGCAATTCGCGGCCTGCAAGATCCTGATCGGGAGGGCACTGGGTCCGAGATTGAAAAAAAAAAGAAAAAAAAGAAAGGAGAGTCAGTTGGATATAGACGTTCCGAGAAAGAGGTGGTCTCCGCGAGGAAAAGGAAATATTGTTTTTTTTTTAAAGTGTATGTGTGTGGTTTGTGAACCTAGTCGTGCTGATTGAAGAGTTCCTACGGAGAGGAACTGGCTGACCCCGGGAAGTTTGGTTCCCGATTACTCATCGTCAACAAGACAAGAGGATCTTTAACGCAGCCTAGCCTATTCGGCCTTATCGGACGTTTTGATTCTCAAGATGAGAGCTGACGCACTTCTGCATACGACGGAAAAGTGTTACCGCCGCAGCATTGGTGTAGTGGTGTCCCGGCCCCTAAGGGTCAGTAGCCACGCTCTCCGCTTGTCCACTCCAAATGGTCGGGCCCGCATTGTGCGTCGGGTCGTACGCCGCACGCGAGGGGCTAACGGGCCGAAATACATCAGCCCNCAGGCTCCCGCAGGTGCCTGTTACTACTTAAGGGTTGTTCCTACACCCACTCCGGAACTTGTTAGAGTCTTCTCCCACACGAGTTCGGTGACTTTGGTGACTATGAGGATAGTTAATCAGTTCAATCCCCTCGTTGGTTGCCTTTTGGTGAGCGACGGGGACTCTAAAATATAGAGCCAAGAGACATTACTCCGCCACTATGCTCAGGCCACTTTGGAGAAATGTGATCGGTACAATACCAATCTTTTGTCTTTGCGGTTTCCATTTGGTATTTGTTTTTGCGGTTTCCATTTTGTTTTCTTTACTTTGCAGTTTCCATTTGGTTCTATTTACTTTGCGGTTTCCATTTGGTTTTATTTTTCTCCGTGGCCAGGCCAGCAGCGAAGATTTCAGAGATGAATGGATGGACCGAGGTCCCTTACACACGCTCGACTTCTCTTGGTAATAAACGCCAGGTGAAGAAAATCATCTCCCCTTCCGCGGCATCGCGCCGAAATCCACAAGGTACTCCAGTCGACTTACTCTCGGGACCCCTACCGAGAGCTATTCCTTAGCGATTTGAGCCCTAAAATCGCACACATCACAAATGAGAGAACTCTCACTCTCAAAGACAACAGTCTTTTACATAGTCGATCACACGGGAGCATCTTCCCTCTGCGGAATTCCGAACGAGATCCTCCAGGGAGCGACCCCACACTCAGTCCTGTATCGCCCGCTCCCGAGCACCCACACCTCTTCTGCGGTATCCTACCGAGATCCTCCAAAGGGCAACTCCCCGCCAGCTTATTCCCTCTCAGTTCACCTCTGAGATTCTTCCATCAATGACGGGAAGGGGGAGGTGCACTACTTCTCCCCCGATGCTAGATCGACAGCGGTCAAACGTTCGGGCTCAGACCCCGGGGACACCTGTCTTGGGCCCCTGTCCGAACCTCGAAGTCCTCCTCGCCGCCGTCCGCCAACTTTATCTTAGCCGGTCGCAAGAGCAACCCTTCTTCTGCGGCATCTGCAATAAGATCCTCCAAGGGGCAGACGCCCATCACACAAGCCAGTTTCACAAACGACCGCCGGGACCACCCGAACCTCTTCGGCATCTCTTACGAGACCCTCCAAGGCACGAGCGAACCCAACAGCCGCGTATTTGCTACACCCCATCCATCGATTCGTGAGATTTGCAGGTCTCTTTTTGTTCAGCCTCCTAGGAGACCTTAACAGTGGCGCCACGAGAAGGCAAAAGCCTAAAAGGGGAGTGCAAAAGCCCCGGGAAGTGAGGCGTGATCCCGTCAGTTGGTACATTTCCAATTTCTTATCAGGCCTGATAATTCCGGACTAGAAATATTAGCTATAAGTTTCGGCCTTTTGTTAGCTTTTAATTTATAAGGATTTGTCTATGTTCTTGTAAATAGAATAGTTGTGATTAGTATTCATTTTTTAAAAATCGTAGTTTTAAACCGTAAGTAAGGTAATATCTTTAGATATCTTGCTTGTGTTAACAAATCAACTCGGATAGAAGCAGGAAAAACTTCATCATTTAGCTCCCATCACAACCCTGGTTGGAAGCGCCATCAGAAAGAAGAGAGCCAGAAGCCTTTTTATCCCCCGGTTTCGGTATTTATCCTTCCCCAAAAATACCATGGCGCTCAACATAACACCTATAAATAAACTTTCGCCTCCTCACCGACCATCACTTGTCTCTCCCTTCAACAGGTTCCCCCCTTCCCCACTGAGCTACCGCCAACGTACGTGCAGCCGCAATAAGGAAGCTGTAACAATGATAGGGACAAAGGTTGTAAATCTGAAAGGGCGGTCACCCAGACGGGAAAGACGTGACGTTCACCTCAAACCTGGCAAACATAACTTTGAAATAATTACACCGTTGGACAGATAGATAAGAAAGTCGAAGGGTGTCGCAGACCCAGACTGGAACCACGTCATGTTTCCCACGAACTTGGAGACCATAAAGTTGCAATAGTTGGACAACCGATCAAATAAATATCTATCGTCTAGTTATTTAGTGCTGAAGGGTTTTCACACGGTAAAAAATACGTAGCGACGTAGGACATCGTAAATTTGGGTCAACCATGTGCGCGACACCCGTCTTCGCCGGTTCACCCGCGGCGTGGGAACTCCCCCGATTTTTTATTTTCCTTTCCGCCCCTACTCCGGTAGAGAAACTGTTATAAAAAGGGATGACTGGGAAATCAAAAGTCAGTCAAAACCAGAGACTCACCCCAGGCTGTCAAAACCAGAGACTCACCCCAGGCAGTCAAAACCGGAGACTCATCCTCAGGGAGTGAACAGTCAACAGTCAACAGTTTTATTTTTAATATTTGTGGTTTGTTCTTATTTTGTTAATATGATAGTGTTTCCCGTTCGTTTGTTTCATTTTATTTGTACTGCAGTTAGCAGGTTATTTAAATTTTCTTATGTTATGTCTGTTAATTATTTATGACAATTTCTACATAATTAACGTATGTACATGTAACATTAATCTTATACATACGTAAATATATATTTAGAAAACTGAAATATACCTTGCATTCTAGGTTCACTGCCCCTTCGTCTGACATCACAGCTTTCAAATCTTCTAGAAATTTTGGTTTCTTATAATGGCGTGGAATGTTGAGTTTTAGGAAACAGGACGTAACACTTTGGCCAAAGTCGTTCGTAGCAACACATTTCCATTCGGCCTTAAATCATAATCAATGTTGAATAGATTATTCCTTGGTTTCATTAAGCAAGTAAGGTTTACTAATATGTACCTGGTCTGAAAATTCTAACTTATTTATTTCCAAATGAAACGTCCCGATCCTATCTTTGTCTAGTTTGTACTTTTCACTTTTTTCGACAATTTCATCATCTTTGAACCATAAAACGGTCGACTCAGGGAAAACGCTCACTAAAAAGTTGTTAACGAATTTACAGATTTTCTTGGAAGGTTTTGTTCAGTTTTGTATACCTTGCACAGTAAATTTGAAACTTTCGTTAATCTTTGCTTCAGAACTTTTCAGCCCTTGGATGAATCGCGGTGGCAGTTTCTCAGAAGATAACTGCAACCGCTCTTCTTCTGTCAACTGACTCTTGATGTCTTCTAATGTTAATTCGGCACTACTTTCTGCTTGTCCCATACAGTTTTTTGCTATGCAACAGTACGAACCTAGAAAAGGCGGTTTTAAGGTAACAACGTTCTGGACAAAGAATTCAAACTGTACCATTTACAAGCTATTCTAATTTACCGAGAGAGTTGGTGCCGGTAAGTTGATATACGTCTCCAGGTTTTAACTCTTTGCCGTCTTTGAGCCAAGAAAGATTAGGGGTCGGATATCCCACTACCTTACATTCAAATGAAACCAAACCTTCTTCTGTTAGTATCGCTTTCAGGCTTTCCAAAAACTTTGGCTTCCTATAGTTTTTAGGATCTAGAAATATGCAGTGCTTAACACAAGAATGGATTTGTCGGTGAAAATGATGTTGTAATAGAATTCTTACTTACAATTAACAGTGAGATTAGCAGTTGAAACAGATTTAGCTCCTAATTTATTCGTGGCAACACATTTCCAAGTGCCATTATCTTCCGAGGTGACGTTGGGCAACGTGATGCTGTACATCCCAGCACCGTCTTCGATTAAATGCGCTCTTTCACCTTCGACCACTTCACCTGAGGGACCGTACCAATGAATTTCTTCTGGCCAAGGAGGTACTGAGACTGAAATAAAATATAAATTGAACATCAGATTTAGAATAAGGATTGTGACTTGAATGACTTACTTTTACATTCCAAAGTGACATGTCCTCCAAGTTTTACTTTCTCGTTTCGTAATTCTTTCAAAAATTTCGGTTTGGGACCAGAAGGCAAAAATCTGTAAAAGTAGTAAAAATCTCCGTTTTTAAATAAATAAACTTAAAAAAAATATTTTTTTCTGTAATAGTGATTCACGTATATCTCTAATAATGCAATAAGCATTGAGGATATATGAATTTATTCAGATGAATATAGAAATTAATTGGAATAAGTTCAAACGCTGGACATCAACTCGTGGATAAAAGGCCTATATCGTGACCAGCAATATTCAGATTGAAAATTGGTAGTCCCTTAGGTTATTCACTGTCCTTAAAATACATTTTTATCCCATATATTTTAATTGATATTGTTAAAAATACAATACAATTTGTTTTATACAACAAGGTTACACGGAAACGATAAAAATAAATTTTAATTGATTTATTGTTTTTGTGTAAAGTATGGTTGAATTGAAAAATTAGTGTTACGAGCGAGACTCGAATCCACAACCTCCGGATCAGTAGTCCGGCGCTTATACCAATTGAATTATTGTGATAAGTGGTATAAGCGCCATGGTACCTATCCTGAGGTTTGTCACCTCTTTTATGGCTAATTACAGTAAACAGCTTAATAGAACTTCTATCAAGGTATCAGGTTTCTACAGTCAATTATATTCAGATGATGGTACCATAATGCTCACAGGTAGAGATCCCTTGACTCTTTCACTAATGATGGAAAACGCCATGGGATCGCTTTATAGATGGTGTTGTGACAAAGTTTTATCAATTAATCCTGCTAAACTAGAATTGATAATGTTTAGCAGGAGAAGAACATTAGGTAATTTTAAAAACCCTAAATTTCAGGGCATAGAATTAAAGTTAGTGGATTCCATCAAATTCTTTGGTGTGACACTTGACAGGAAACTTGATTGGAAAGGTCATATTAATAACATATACAGGAAAGGCACTATATCAATGGTACAATGTAGGAATTGTCGGTAAAACATGGGGCATCAAACCATGGGTAGCCAAATGGCTATATACTACAATTATTCTACCTAGATTCTTTTTCGCAGCTTTAGTGTGATGGAAAGGTCTAGAAAATAAAGGGAATAGTAATAAATTAAGGTCATTTCAAAGACTAGGTTGTTTGATGATGACAGGAGCATTTTCAACTACACCCACCCTAGCTCTTGAAATCATAACCAATACCACACCCCTTCACATTGAGGTTAAGGTCAGAGCACTAATCAGCTGCTACAGATTAATTAGCGAGGGCAGCTGGAATCATAAATGCAATAACATGGGTCACTCGAAAATCCTACTATTGAGTAAGGTTAACGGTCAATTATTAAGCGTTAGTGATAAAAAGATTAAAACCCCTTCGGGGAAAAAGCACTTTCAGGTTGTCACCCCTTGTGATTATAATTATAGTCTGGATGATGACAATCGTAACATAGACTGCTACACAGATGGATCACTTATCAAAGGAAGAGGGAGTGGTGCAGGAATCTACATACCAAAATTAGGAATCAGCTTCTCCTCCCCTCTTGGCAATAAAACCTCCGTTTTTCAGGCGAAAATCTGGGCCATCAATGTGTGTTGTAGAACACTTATGGAAAATAAAGTTAAGGGAAAAGATATTAAAATCTTTTCTGACAGTCAGGCTAGTCTTAGGGCATTACAAAAAGATTTGTAAACCTCACGACTGGTGGAGAAAACTATAGATCTTATCAATAGGATGTCTTTCAGCTTTGAGAATAAGGTGACCCTTATGTGGATACCAGCACATAAAGGACACCATGGCAATGAAAAGGTGGATGGCCTAGCCAAAGAAGGTTCTGATACTGCGTTTGTCGGGCCACAACCGGTATTACCTCACTCTGTGAGCACAGCGAAAGAGAGTATCAATAACTGGGGCATGAAACAATTCCTTAGGGAGTGGAATTTATCCCCCGGACACAGGGAATCGAATGAGTTTGTTAAGGCGAGCAAACCAGCCGAATCGAAATGGCTATTCTCTATCTCAAGGAAAGGAATTAGGAGGCTGATAGGTATTCTAACGGGCAACTGCCCACTGAGAAGACACCTCTTCATAATGGGTATCCTACCAGATCCCTTTTGCCGCTTCTGCGAAATAAAAGAAGAAACGGCAAAGCACTACCTTGCAGAGTGTGATAGGTATGCTAGGTCTAGATTTGAAATCTTTGAAGGAGAGGACATCACCAAATCACTCCCCGAGATAAAATGGCTCAAAATCATGGGGTTTGTGTACATGTCCAAGAGGTTTATGCAGGACACGTGAACCGACCAAGTCCCGGACCTTTTAGGGATGGGGTACGAGTCTACCCAGGCATTTAACCCGTCGGGTCTTGGTCGCCCCCCCTGCATAATATTTATACTTATCCTGAGGGCGTGGGTTCAAGTCCCGCACGCGACCTTGCGGAAGTTGTGAGCGTGACTTAGGTTGAAGGCGGAATATTTATAAAAGTACCCGATCAACAACAATTACATTAGTTTGTTGTGTGCCGGTCGATGGAAGAATATTGAATACTCCATCTACTAAACAGAATGGGCGCAATGTACATAGGAGTGAATGTATTTTGTGTTGAATGTGTGTTGTTATATTTCGCATGCGCTCGGGGCTGAGATGACCTAGCTACATGAGGATGCCCTTTTAATAATAAAAAAAGAATAATAGGGCTGGACTGGCGCTGGGGACGGTGCTCGCCTGAGAAATGGGCCGACACCCTCTGGACATTTCCGACCGTACTCATCGCGACGATCTGTCGAACTTGCCTAAAGCCAGAAACACACTTACCCGATCGTACGCCATGCGACGCTACCCGATCCTACCCGACGCAAATCCAAACTCCGATTTTTCATAAGGTTGCATTTCCCCCCGTGCACACCTACCCGATGCTATGCCACGCTAACCTACCCGACGCTCTGCGATCCCCACTGTCCAGATTTTCGTCGGGTCGCGTCGAGTACAGTCGAAGATAAAAGAACCGGCACTCATATTTTTATTCAAACTACATGTATTATTGTCGTTATATTAATTACAACATACTTATTTTAATATAAACCACATGTGTGTTCCTGGCTTAAATCGTTACTTCGCCATACCTCCATAAGGCGTATGCACCGACTGCCGGGGCTATTCGAGGCAGGTTCTCTGGGAACCCTCTCGACGTCCTCTTGTTAGGGAAATACGCCGAGCGCCTCAGAAAAACGGTGGTTGTTGTTTCCCCTACACGTCGGACTGAAGGGTAACGTGCGTATGAGGCGGCGAAAGCCGTGACGTCCCCCCCCCAGGGATTAGACCCTCTAACGCTAAGCTCGAAGTAAAAACATGATAAAAGAAAGTTGGTAACGTCAGTGGGCTGGGTCATCCGGGAGGCTTCTGCCAGTCAAGAGCACGACCGGTTGATGACCCTAAGAAAAACGCCGGAAAAGGGGAAACGTCTTCACCCGATTGAGGATTGGTCATTTGAGGTTTACATACGGGCATCTTCTTCTCGGCCAAAGCCCGTTGCCCCGTACAGTTCAAGTTCATAGATCCAAACTGGGGTGATTAGAGTAGCAGAGAAAGGTTGCTCGATGTGTCCCACATAATAGAGGCCTGCCATTCCTTGGGTCCATACAGAGAGCGTGTAGGCATGCCGTCGGATTTAAGAATGGTTCTCGAACACAGCAGTCGGTTTATGGGTCCCCTGTTTTTTAGGGGATGTGGGAGTATTTTACTGTAGATAGTTAAATTCTATGTGCTTTATCTTTATGCGTTTTGTTGAATTGCGGTAAGGGTGATGGTTGAATATAGCGTCACCACCGCTGCTTAGGATAGATGGCGGAATATTGATAAACGCACTTCTTCCACCATAGTTTACGTTAGTTTATGAATACTGTATGTCGGTTGATGGAGGACTATCCTGCACTCCACCGACTAATCAGAAAGAGTGCAATGTATGAATGCATTTATTTGTGCGACTGATTTATCCAATTTACGTAGTATTGGGCTAGATTATAGTATGCATGCATCTTGAGAAAAATGATCTAACGGTTGATAGCCCCCGTCGGAGCCTAACGCGTCGGTCAGGAAGCGACGATATCCTCGGCATTTGGCTTAAGGGGGATACTAGCGACCGAGCCACATAACGGAGTGGGTGAAATCCCTGATGTATAGTTACTAACCCACTAAGGTTAGCACAATGGGCAGTGACCCTTCGGGTGAAAATATATATGTATGTATATTTTATGGACTGACAAGCATCAAGTGGTCATCGCCGCTCCTCTACGCTTTATACAAAAATCCATGAGACTGACTTTTTATACCAATACCTTACTTAAAGTTTAATTAATTGAAAAGAATTTATTTGGTCAATCGGACCACGAAACCTAAACTATTTTATAAGTTTAAATTGAATAAATGTTTTAACAAATATTTTTCATACCCAGCAGTGCTTGAAGATCCGTTCAAATGAACAATTGAAGTAGATTCGGCTTTGCCCATACAGTTTGAAGCAAGACACGTGTAGGTACCAAGGGAGGTCGGATCCGATGCATCGGCAGTAAGGGCGAGGATGTCACCTGCTTTGATTTCTGAATTGCCCTTAAGCCATCGTAATGTCGGTGTTGGCACTCCAACGACTTTACACTCCAAAGATACAGTCCCTTGGGCTGTCAAGACTGCTCGTAGGGGTTCGACAAATTCTGGTTTCTTATAGGCCTTTGGTACTGAAACATAAGACAACTGAACGATTAATAACTTGACAAATTATATGGCCGCTAATAAAACAATATAATTTTATTTATTTTCATTTGTATAATTAGAGAATTAATAAACTTTTATTTTGGCAAAGCAAGTTTTCCTCTTCATTTCTAAGTTGCTTTTCATTTTATTTTTCTCTTATCACGCTATGCAGCAGTTGTCGAGAGAGCCGCGGTCTGCTACCATGGTAAGCTTGCTCTTTAGTCCCTAAAGGATTTGTAGACAAGAAGTTCCCTGAGTTTACTCTCAGGAGGCTCTGCAAGCCTAACTTCTTCTGGCTCAAGTCGGGCCAGTAAGCATGGTGCGTCGGTCGTTTATTATTTTACCTTGGAATAATAAACGTGGATGCTTGAAGGAAAAATAAAATTAAAAGCAAATTAATAATGAAAAAAACTTGCTTAGTCAAAATAAAAGTTTATTAAATCTCCAATTATACAAATGGGCAGGACGAACAAGGTAAGGTGATCAAACTGTAAACAACACCGAAGCAAGTGAGCCTACAAGTACATTTTGTCTGATGGCCTATCCAGGCATAAAACACTGCACACTTTGCATATAGTATACCAAATAATTATATAAATTAGATTCAGGCGCGTCGGTCTGATGTAATCACATATTACAATCTAATTCAAATAAAGTAATTCGTATATTTTCCCCATTCGATGCCAGTGACGTATTACGTCGACAAAGAGAGCTCCGATCTATTATTAGAAAATTGGTTATGGCCCAATTTTTTACCAGTGTGGCTATTACGAGGTGACAACTTAAAATGTAAGCAAACGCATTTTTTTACCTATGAGTGAAAGCTCTGCAGATGACCTCGTCACACCTATGCTGTTCTTCACCCACACTGTCCAAGAACCGCTGTCTTCGAGGACGACTGGGGATATGTCCAAACAATAAAATTGACCTTCTGTTGCTAGCTTTAATCTGTCGGTGTCTTCTACCGTTTTTCCATTCTTCTCCCATCTCACCTGAAATTTGAATGATGAAATTTTTTATAAAAAAAAGAGTGATTATTGATTTAGTATTTATTACGAAAATATTCTGGGCACCCAACATGAACAATTATATTCCTTAATTCAGCATTACTGGTACCCAATTAGGAGGAATTGACTTAGTCTTACTTAGACGTGCCTTAGAAAGCTTCATCTGGCTTGCTGTTGCTACCCTAACATGGTTCAAATAACCCTAACCGGTGTATTGCAAAACAGGATAATTTACCATAAAGGCAGAATCCTCAGCTTGGGCTGGCGATAGATTTTCGGGTGCGGCTGTAATATCAGTCTGCAGTAGTTGAAGCCAAACTGGACGAAATCCTCCTGTGAAACCAGGTACAGACTACGACCACAATGTCTCCTACTTGGCATAAGACGCGCCTTAACTTAAGGGGTAACTGTTGATCTTGTTACCTTTCCTTAACCCTAACTAGTTCACCACCTATTCCCCTTCCATAATTGTTATTTTATCATGATATGTACAGTATAACCTTAAAATTGCTGGATGTATGATTAGAAGGCAAACACCCATAATGGAGTGTCGTCTAAAAAATACGATTCTATTCCTTATACAACACTCCATTATCCACTGTCTGGGGGCTGCCAGGGCAATTCCAAAGCTAGCTGGATCTAGCAATGCACCATCCATGTCCGCGACGTGGAAGTTGAGTGCTTCGGTAACTAATAAATAGAAAAAGAAGTTTCGTTCATCAATTTAACCTCCAAATATCTTTGAAACAAATATTTCTAGCGTACGGGTATTTTTAATTGAATAATAGAAGATTTGATTAAAACTAAGGATGCCAGCACATGATATGAAAGTCATATGAAAAAATATTATGATTAGCATTCTTACAACAGAAGCCAAATCAAAAAAATAAATAAGTAGTGGTATTTTATTTACTTTTATACATATTAATTTCCCTTTCACAAAGTTTATTCATATTAGAATAAACAGAGAAGGTGATGGCATTAACTGGGAACGCTCTTAAAGCGGTTATGATGGAGCCTTTGTAGAAAAATAAAAGTCCTTCTTTCTGGTAAGTTTTGACGAAACAGTCTCTAATATTCTTATACTTCGGATGGTCGAGATTATCGGATTGAATACGGGATTTAACTACATCCACTGGCATGATCGGTATCCAAGAGACCAAACCCGCAATTCCTCCAGCTATCATCTCATTTCGGAGTTTTGGATGGCCCGTCACCTTGTGTGACTCAAGTACGCAGACAGAATGCTCATAGACCGCCGCGTAAGCCGCGAACGATGGAATATCTCTCATCGCCATAATCACCCATCCTTTATAAAAGACTCTTATACCTTGCTTTTCGTATAAATACTTCACCATTCTTTTTGAACCTATAGAGTCTTTGTGTTTGTCGACCTGAAGACGAATTTTCACCAATTCGACGGGACACGATGTGAGCAGAGAAGCCATGCCACCGATTCCCCCAGCGAGTATCATCTTCAGGTGCCATTGGTCTACAGATTCGGAATCACAACAAAGCCTTTTTTTGTCGTTGGCAGTGATCAACCTCAATGAATTTGCGTAAAACCCGAAGTAAAGAGCATTGGTGACTCCATTTGACATAACCGGAAAAAAACAGCCTTTATAATATCCCCGGAGACCTTCGTGCTTCCAGATATTTAGAATTATGGTCACGACACTGTTCCTATCAGTCTGCTGTCGAACTTTAATAGTGTCGGCGGGGTGCCCTATTAGAATTCCAGACGCTCCAGACACGCAACCAGATATGAAATCGCAAACATTTATAAGCATGATGTGGTGAACGTACGCTGTGATGGAGCATTTGAAATTTCTATTATAATATTGGGCATTTCTACAATTGTTAAAAATCAGACACTTACGAAACAAATAAAACAAAACACATTTTAAGAATCAGCCGGGAATAGTGTACACATAAAACCAATACAGATGAATCTTAATACAATTTAATGGTTTAATAATTTTTACTACGTACTTTTTTAAATCATAGTAGTGACGAAATATTATCAATACACGGCAAGAATAGCCAAACATGGATAACACATTTGCAAATTTGTTTCTGCTTACCTCTAAAAACAGCTGGATCAGTTAAAATCAATTAAAAATTGATTGTGTACACTCCTGACTACGAAATATATTACGATATAGACTTAGGTAAATGTTATTGATTTTATATGAATGTATAACATAAAGAGGAATGATTTACTTTCTATAGATTTATATCGATCAAAAGTACAAATAGACAATAAGTACTTGAAATATGAAGAGGGTCGCGAAGTCGATCGAAGCTTTATTTTGTATCAGTTAAAATTACACTTCACAAATGCTATGCTCCCTAACATTTAAAAATAAAATTAGAAATTTTGGGAAAAACCAAAAGTCGTTATATTAATTGAAGAATACACACATTTCACGTATCAAAGTGTGTTTCAAAACCTTCCACCTCCACACATTTTGTATAACCTGTTTTCATTTTAAGATGACACTATGCAGGATGGAAACTCAAAGCCATAATGAAAAGTGATACGAGAGTACAGCAGAATGGGCGTGTGTATTTGAAGTGAGAAGCACTTCTTTCCACAAGTCTGGGTACACGAAAAACTTCGACCTAAGCTACGCAGTTCCCAATAGGAAGAAGTACCAAAAACAATAAATTCTGACATCAGGGACTGCAGATGATGTGAATGAGAATTTAATCCTCAAATGTAAGTTGGCAGGCCATGTTGTGATGGTGAAGGAAGGCACCTGGGCTCAAATATTAACAGAATGATCATAAAGTTTGAACAAAGTACGGCAAAAAGAGAATTTTTTTAATGATATATGATATGTTTCATATTAACGAGTTTCTACATCTATGGACTAGGATAGCAATAAGTCCATTATATGGGATAACCAAAGAGAGGCCTTTGCCAAAATATGGGCCTAGTTAGCAATAAAAAATTGATTAAAAAAGAATAAATAAATGAATAATCGAGTTACTTTTCACTTTATTATGATAACTTTATTTTATTAATGTAACGTCAAGTTTTAGTTATCCCGTTTTACTTTTACTGGCTGTTATTATTATATAACTAAAAAAAAAACTAAAATAAAGAAATATATAAAATTATAAAAGTGGTTTCTTTTAATCAATACAACTTGTAATATTGAAAATAACACATAGCATTCCTAACCTAGATTTAGGCGATAACTGTATTACAAATGACACTGCATTTGTCATTTGATGACAGGATAACTGGCGTTTATTATTTACTTGTGTCATATTTCGCCGGAATTCAGGCGTATTTTGAACGAACCAGAGTGGAATTCTGGTGCGCAAGTTATAAATAAAGGAGTAGCTAAAAATTGATATTTTCAGATATCGTTTGTAGGTCACGTGCTACGATTTATCAAAACGCGTCAAAATAATTCTTCTTCTTCCTTGAAATTGTTTAGTTTGATAAAATGTTAATAAGATCATGTTGAAAAAGTTAAAGAAAAAAACAATTTGACGACTTACAGTAACTGGCGTAGGACTGCTGACCTCTATGAGAAATCGGGTTCGCGTTCCCACCTTGACAGTGATGTCTGTCAAACTACGGGAGAGAATAGGTCGGCCCGAGCTGACCCTGGTCCCCCCTGATTTATGAGGAGAGAACCTTTCGTCTTCGATATGTTCTTCGACTTCCCAATCATCTCCGATCATCCTTTTCCTTGTACGAGACCTAAAATCGTAAAACAGGAGAAATATTATAAGCAAAATAACAAATATCACTTAAATTACGATAGTTACATATATTATACTAATAAAAGTAATAACCATCTCTGTAAATTTATTTATATACACGCTATATGTTCAGAACCTATAATTGGTATAATGAGGTTAAAGGCAAAGACCTCCATTTCACAACAGATTCGTTTACCTAGAAATATTGGATTCCTGGAACTGTAACCAGACTTATGGTTAAAGAACCCTCGTTGAGACGAGAACACGGGGTAACTCAGGGGTGATTCAGGTTCAGACTGGTCACTGGCAACTGAGAAAATACCTAAACGTCCTACAGAAAACGGCTATAATTAGCATTGAACTCACATGCATGATATGCAATTAGGAGGAGAAGAAAACTTCCACTAATATTATTTTCCAATGAGAAGCTACTGATCAATATATAACTTATAGTACCAAGAAAACCTAGGAAAAGGGATAGCATCATTATCAGTCAATGACCCTCTCTTAAAAAAAAAAGAAGAATACAAACAATTAACTGGCCTAAGAAACTAGGAAAAGTTAGATAAGGTTGAAAGCTGCAATGCCAAGAGAATATAAAACCCTAAGGATTAAATCCTCTCCTTCCTATCTTATTATTTTCTAATTGAAGTAGAAGTATACATCTCATTTTGCTTACCAACTAATAAAGGTTTTGATTAAAAATATGACATGTACGATGGTCTTGAGTTGTTGCTCTCCTTGGGTTACACATCACGTTTTTCAATTTCAACCTTGCAAAGGATATTGCCCTAAGAAAAGTTCTAAAAAACGTAAAAGTATGTCTTTGGAGTTTGGAATGATTATAAACTACGGCCTACTGTGGTAAAATCCCCAAAAATGTTGAAAGAACAGTGACTGCATGGACCACAATTAAGAAAAAAAGGTTTTTGCCATTTGTTATTCTTTGAACGGCTACTGTGCGTTCGGAAGCGCAAATTTTTCAACGGAAATGTTACCTTGTGGAAAATTGTTTGCGAAATAAAGGTCAGATTTGTATTTTAATGATGCTAATGTTGAGAAATTACGATGTTACGTAAAAAGATCTGATTTTAGAGTAAAATCACAAAAATGTTAATATCTCAGGAAAGAGTCAAGATAGAAACCCTGTAAGGGGTCGCACCGAACTACTTTTTATTGCGTGAATCCACCATCAGTATTGACATTTATCCCTGTAACACACAGTATATACATATTAGGTGTTTTGTTTGAGTGCGTGTATTTATTAGTGTGAATAGTGAGGGGTGATGGTGAAATATATTGCCACCATCGACCCTTCAGCAGCGTGTGTCGGAACAAAAGTACCCCATCGGCCTTAATTTAGATTAGACTAATAATACAGCGTGTAAGTCGACCGAGGAATATCGATCCCATCGACTAGTCAGAATGAGTGTACGTATACTCAATGTATGAATGTATTTATTTGCATGAATGTTTTTATTTGTGTGACTGTATTATGGAATTTAGTTAGTTCTAGGCTAGATTATAGTTTGCATCCATTGGGGGGGGATTGAAATGACCTAGGTGTTAGCTTAATTATGAGGCTAATCCCGTGGTTCAGGAGCGACGATTTCCTGGGCACCTGGTTTAAGGGGTATACGAGCGAACCAGCTACACTACTCAGGTATAGATCCAAGGGACCACGCATGGGGGGGGGTGTGACGACCATTCAGGGTGCAAGTCCAATATTATCAACTTATAATAATATAATATAATTTGTACAAACTAACGATTATTATTTTTGTTGTTGAATATTGTTTTGGTTTATGGATTTATTCGTACGCATTACTTATTTATACTTACATATTATTATATATTATAAATTACATTGTTATATAAGTATACATATTACTTTTTCCTTATTAGCATAACAATGTGTTAAACTATTTCTAGTATGCATTATTTATGGACAGAAAAACATTAAGTGGTCATCGGCCATCGCCGGTCCTCTGAGCTTTAAACAAAATTCTTCATTTTTTCGTTCATCTTTGTCACTGAGTCCATAATATTATTTTGGTCTCCTGTTTTCTTAGCTTGTTAGTCTCTGGAAGGTACTTAGGTTTCTACTCTTAGTATGAACAATTTCAAGGGCGTGAACTTTAGTTTCAACAATATATTTTTAATTTAATTTTTCAAATCCTCGTCTAATTATTGATATTTACAATAGTGTTTATTTTTATTGATTTCGCTTTTCTGATTAAGATTGGAATAGTTTATAACAAATTATTTTTGACATTTAAAAGATTTCAGCCAATTGCGATATTTTTATTTCAGTGTAGAAATGTGTGGGGATTAGTGACCGTTAGTCGACGATTATTCGGAAATAATGAGATGCGGTCTGGTGTGGTGATGTAGGTTTCAGAAAAACATTTTCTTTATCTGTGTGGTGGTTAGTGATCGTTAATCGATAATTATTCAGAAATCNAGGATCATCTTCAGAGCTCAATAAAGATCGAAACGTTGGCACGATAAAGAAAATGTTTTTCTGAAACCTACATCACACCAGACCGCATCTCACGATTTTTTAATAATTTTCTTTATCGTGCTAACGTTTCGATCTTTATTGAGATCATCTTCAGGGCCTGGGATTTCCACACATTGTTTAAATTTAACAAATACATGTAGGATATGGAAAAAAATAAATTCATACAATGCAAAAAAATATTTTTAATATTCAATCAAAGTATTTCTCTCGCAGAAAACTAACACTTTGAGGGAGTAGAAGTACTTTGATTGAATATGAAAAATATTTTTTTGAAATGTATAAATTTACTTTTTTCCACATCCTACATGTATTTGTTAAATTTAAACAATGTGTGTAAATCCCAGGCCCTGAAGATGATCTCAATAAAGATCGAACCGTTGGCACGATAAAAATAATGTTTTTCTGAAACCTACGTCACACCAGACCGCATCTCACGATTTCCGAATAATCATTTTTATTTCCTTTTTTCATATACCTGCTTGTACATTGAATATAATTATAATGTAAAATGAGACTTATTTACTATTGTAACGATAAACATAAAAATGCTATCTGTCTGCGCAAAGCAATTAGCTTAAAATTTTCAAAAACATTTTTCATTTAAACCAGCGTATTTACTACTATTATGTTTTTCCTTTTAAATCCTTTCGAACTAAATTATCAATTGTAGATCGGTCCTAAAATAATTAGTTACAATCAGGATAAAATCGCAAATCGCATTCTTTAATTTGATTCGTGTGATCTCGGCTAAGGGTGAACGTTTGAAAGAGGTTGAAAAGCGGCATACGCCCAATGCGCCAGCAATTAAATTATTGGAGATTGGAAGTCGGAGCCCAAAAGGTCTAAAAACGGCTTCCATGTTATTTTCGGGCGAGCAAATGGTGAAAGGAGTGAAGGAATGCTTTCACAGGGACTGTACTCCTGTTGTCAAGCTGTTTTGATGTCCAAAAAAAGATCATGCTACTCGATGATGAACAACAATTTTAACAATTTCATTTTGTTTGTATTTATTTTTGGTTATTAAACTTTTTATAGAGATGAACTTTGAAACAGCACGATTTCCAATAATTAAAATCACTTTGTGTTACCGACACAGTAAGTCGAATATTATTAAACAGCATTTTCTCATTAACTAAAAACACAAACCAATCAATTATCATTCAATGACACATTAAATCGGTACTTGATAATCTCAAACATATTTTTCTCAAAATATTGGGTCACTAATAAAAGTTACAAACTAATATCCATTTTAAAAATGGCAGTTATAAACTATACACTTTTAGACGCATATTTTGCTATATGTAGATATATCAAATCGAATTAAAACCAGATTTAAGTATTTTTATCCTTATGTGTCGTAATGAGTAAACAAAAATAAATCAACCTTAGACAGGATGTCGGTATCCTTAAATTTCGGGAGCCGGTCTCTTACTGCACACAACACTAAATTCACACCTTACACACGCGTTTACAACGTGGCCCCAGAAACCATATTTATTTCTGTAATTGTGCCCTCCAGGAGTGATGCTGGGGTAAGAAAATACATTGGTGGGGATCTGTCGTGGACCGAGGCCAGAGGTGCACTACCAATACCGATATAGAACCAGCCTCTCTCTCCTCGTGGTATACCGACTCCCGAAAAATTCCCTCTGATCATGTTTGGGAGAAGCGAATGGTTTGCCTCATTAAACTTCCGTTATAATTACTAACAATCAGACAGTGACAAGCACAGCATGAACAATAATATAATAGCATTTCGAAATTCTTTGACAACACGACTATATTATTATTCTTCATTTATTATTATATATTTTATTTAAATTTCGAAAATGTATTGATCTTAATTCATATTAAATAATAATAATAATAATAAATGCACTATTTTTCTTGGTCCGCTTGACCAATTAATATCATTCAATTAATTAAGGTTTTAAGTTGAGATAAAAAAGTCAGTGTCACGAGCGGGATCCCGCCGAGATTAAAATAGATTACACGACATTTAAAAAATGGCAAAAAGGACGGAAAATTAAAAAAAAGGTGAAGTTGAGATGGGAAGTTAGTCCCCGAGTGGATGGAAGTCACGATACTCAAGTGGTACAGTAGCGGCGTATCAAGCCGAAAGTCGTGGGTTCGAATCCCGCTCGTGACACTGATTTTTTACGTCAACTTAAAACCTTATTTAATTGAATAATAATAATAATAATAATAAATAATAATAATAATATGCGATGTTTAATATTGTTGAGCTTAGTGATGTCCTAATTTTAAATAAATCCTACTATCACATTTAATGAAATTTGTTCAATTAATACGGAGTTTGGAAACTTACAAGTATAAATTCGGGACATTTGTCTCAATGGCTTGTGTGTAGCAAATACATAATTAAAAACTATGTAAATGTTAATTTGTTAAAAATTAACATTGAAAATAGTGTCATACTTAGATATATTTTTGATAACAACAATTTAAAA